CACTCGCAGCTGCCTCTGCGCGTCCTGTGGATGTACCTTTGTCGCGCGCCCGAGACGACTCGACGCCGCTGAGATCGGAGATCAAGCTCTGACAGGTCGCACGTCGCTCCTTTGACGCCGACGTGATTTACCCGTGCAGATCACATCAGGACACGGTCTCGACGCGCTCAGTACGACGCCTGCGACCCGTCTCGGGTCAGGTGGCACGACGCTCATCGGGCCTACCAGCGCTGCCGTACAGGTTGCCACGACGAGGTCGAGCACGCTTCTATACGCTCGCCGAGCCTTCCTTTCCATCCCGTTAGGCAGCCTGGGAACGGTGGCGATCAGAGGCAAAGCCTACGAGGGGTGGTGGAACCACATGTCACGGCTACTGCCGGCTCGACCCCACGATAGCCTCCGAAGGCTGACTTTGCGGCACCATCATCGGACGATGTCGACGAGTTGGGTCGCTCTCGCGGTAGCCAGATGACCTCTCATACTAGGATCATCGGCCATGGCCGCAGGGAGCGCGGGGGAGGGCGCTGGATGCAACACGGAGCTCCGTTGGAGACGTTTTCAAGATTAGCGTGTCAGAGTGAAATGGCACTAGCCTTTGAAAACTGAACAGTTTTCTCCCCGTTGATAAATGAGCTCGACTTAAGACAGTCAACAGGGGTGCCTGTCCCCCGCCTGAGACTAGAGACACCACTGCTGATACTGCCTCGGCGATAGTCAGGTCAGACTCGAGACACACGCACGCCATCCACACACGACCCACGGCCACACACCAACCTCCTCTACGAACGTAGATCACCGAAGCTTCAGTCAAGCTTTGCTTAACGCTGATACACTACCTGCAACCCCTCGCGACACTAAATCGTCGTCATTCTGCTCGGAGAGGACAGCCGGCCGCACGCTGCAAGCTTTGCCTGCGCAGGCGGTGGGAGAGCGTCGTGAGCCCGGGCGGCTGCCCACCGTCGCTAAAGTGTTGCTCCGCGAGCGCGAGGCGGCGTCGCCGAAGCGGCGGCGTTTGCGCCTGCACGATGTCGTTCAGCTCGCCTTGCGACGCGACCCGCAGGAAGGGGTGCGCCAGCATCTCGGCTGCGCTGGGCCGGCCGGCGGGGTCCTGTAGCATAGCGCGGCGAGGTGAGGGTTTAATGCTACAGTGCGACTGGACCATCAGCATGCGCTCCTTCACGAGCGCGGTGGCCACAAAGTCGCGTAGGCGGGCCGACGCCGCGCGGGCTGGGTCCAGCTCGGCGGGCGGCCCCTGCACAATCTGCATCATCGCCTGTGCGGGAGACGGCGATGGGGTCTGGTGGATGCTGCTGCGCACAGAATGGTAGTCGGCGGCATCTCAGATAGCTCTCGGCTTCGTCGCGCCTCGTAGATGCTGCACGCGGTCGAGAAGGGCGGCTTCATCTCGACGAGCTCGATGGCGGTGATGCCAAGCGACCAGATGTCGACCTAGGAGGAGGCAGGGGAGGGGGCAAGTGTGACGGATCTGGGAGCTGAACAATTTCAGGAACACGCACAGCGGCACGTCGCGAAACGCGAAGGGCGTGGGGGGAGGCGCGCCTTCGTGTCGTACCCTTGCTTGCCCGGCAGGAGACCCAACGTCTCTGGCGCCATCCAATGCGGCGTGCCTACGCGCCCCGCGTGGGATCTTTATGGGCACACTCGCCACCTCAGTCGGCCCTCTGGTGTGGCGCGCCAATCATCGTGCCCCGCTTGGACATGGTGTTGAAGAGCTGCGCCACCTGGGGACGTACGGCCGAGAGCTGGGCGAGGCGGGGCGAGGGTGAGCGTCTAACTAATGACCTGCGCCACCACTCCAAGGTCGGCGAGCTTGACGGTGCCGCTGGACGTCAGCAGCACGTTGGCCGACTTGATGTCGCGGTGAATGGCCTTGCGCTCGACGTGCATATAGTCGAGCGCACGCAGCACGCCCTGGCAGACGCACGCGACGCACGGCTCGCTAAAGCCGTGGCCCATCTTGCGCATCACCTGAACATGGCTGGGTAGGTGAAGAGGCGCAGCGCGCAAACGCACTCCACGGCGCCCTGCTCGTGCGCGTCGCCTCGAGCGTCGAACCCGCCTCGCAAAACTCCATCACCACCCACAGCGTCGAGCGCATCTGGTACTCGCGCATAAATGCGTCCTGCGAAACACGAAGGAGGTGTCAGCCTGCATAGCCTCCACCGTTTGGTCGCTCGCCCGCGCTGGAGCAGGCTTTGCCCCTTGGTGTGCCCGAGTCGCCTCTCCCTCTTCTCCTGTTTCTCGGCTACATCTCGGAATGTGGCGCCTTGTACGCAACGATGTGCTCGCAATCGCACTCACGCAGTATGCGAATCTCGCGCTTGATGTCCTCCGCCGTCTCCGCCTCGAGCGGCAGCACCTGTTCATGGCGTGATAGATACCCGTTTGCAATCTTGGCGGTGTCAGCCCCAATCTCAGCCACATCTCGGCCCCATCTCGGGCCGCATCTTGGCCGCATCTGGGGCCGCATCTCGGGCCGCATCTCGGGCCGCATCTCGGCCGCATCGCGGCGCACCTTAACTGCAACCTCCTCGTCGCCGCACATGCCGACATAGACGCTGCCGCACGAGCCCGCGCCGAGGTGGCGCGTGAGCACGGTCTTGCGCGAGTACGGCCGTGCCCTGTGCCGGCGCGGCGCAAGCCCATTGTGCCGTGGAGGCGGCTGTCCGAACACGCCGCCCGCCTCTGTAGCCTCCTCCCTCACGCGGTCGGCCTAGGGCAAGGTAAGGCAAGATTAGCGATGCTTGTCCATACGCTACGTTGGGCTGACCCTCGTGTCTTGTGAGCCCCGATTGGCATTGATGTGCCCGGCCCGCTGCGCTTGGGCGAGCCGCGGTGTGCGCGTGTGTGCACGTGTCTTTGTGAGGTGCGACCTGACGCGGCGTGCTGTTCTTGCTCGTCGGCCGGCTGCCAGGGCTGCTCGAGCCGTCGGAGAGGCGGCTCGTCGGTGCGGCACTGAGCGCCGCCTCTTCCGCCTGCTCACGCCGACCGCCGTGAAGCGGCGCACTCAACACTTCTCGGTGCGGGCACCGTCTGCATCTGCCTGCTGCGCCGCCTGCGCGGCCATCGCGTCAAAAGCCTCGGCCTGGAATGGCCCGTTTGGTTGCCGCTGGAGGGGTACCACGGCCGTGTCCCGCGACAGGCGCGGCCGCCGACTAAAGTCGAGCGCAAAACGCAGCGGGCGGTTCGGGCTCGGCCCCGCAGGAACCTATGCGGGACACACACTCTCCTCACAAACGTGCGCGGCTGGTGCGGGCATGGAGGGTGGGGCCGCGCGCAGCCGCCTCGTCACGTGGGCTTGCGGTTGGCGTCCAGCGTGCGTCGCGAGGCGGTGGAGGGGTCGAGGCGCGGCCCGACCCCGCCGTAACCCCTCGTCCACCTGAGCTCCGCGCAGCCTTTGGAGACTCAGCGGCAGGCTCGAGCGCCGCCGCCAGCGCCGCCTTCGCGCGCGATGCCGACGCCTCGGCCTCCTCGATCTCATGGCTACGCAACCTGCGGATACGGCGCTGGCATGTGTCACGGCCGGGTCTCAGAGGGGGTGGCTCCCTCTTGTGTCGTACAAGCCGGCTCATATCGAGCTTCGGAGTTACGAGCGGCCGTGCAGCCGCCGGCCGATGCGGAGTGCACTCATCGCTCGAGCTGCTCTCGGCTTCCCCCCCGCCGGCAGCCCCATCACTTCTGCTGCTACTGCAGCTGCCGCCACTGCCTCCCCTGCTGCCACAACAGCCGCCGCTGCCGCCGTGGCGGCCACTGCCGCCGTCCCAGCCGCTGGAACGGTCAGCGCTGTTCCTGCTGCCGATGCTGCCACCACCGCCGCGAGCGACGCCGTCACTGTCAGAACGGCTGTCGCTCCTACTTCTGCTCCCGCCGCGCGCGGCAACCGAACCGCATGCCCGCGCAACGCTTGTCACTTCGCGGCCACGCTTCTGCACGGCGGGATGATGGCGATAGCGCTCGAGAAGGCGTTTGAAGTGCGCCGCCGCTGCGGTCGAGTCGCCGGCGGCAGCGCGCTGCGCCAAGCAGAGCATCTCCTCCATGCTCATCGAGCGCACCTGCTCACGCAAGGCGATGCGTCGAGAGGTTTGCGAACAAACATGCCCTTCCTCACTCATCATCCGCACGGTGCGAGCCGGCTGTGGCGGCGGCCGCTGCGAGCCGCGAAGCTCCCAGAAGGGCCTCGACTTTGCCGAGAGCCGCCGCCCGCTGCCAACCTACGCGGTGGGGTGGAGTCAGGCGAGCGCTCCAGCCTCCACCGTCTCCAGAGAGGCTAGAGTCCAGTGGCAAGTGCTCCAGTCTTCTCAACGACAGTCATTCTCTCCGAGCCTGACTGTCGTTTCGCCGATTCTTCTCGGTCTTGGAAGCGCCCTTTGTTTTACAACCGCAAAGCCTTGGTTTGCAACATTCAGGATAGGGGGCGAGAATCACGATGAGAAACCAGGTACAGGGGAGGTTGCGTTAGTTTGTCACTCGCCATGCGCGTCCTTGGCTGACCCTCCAAAACTCCCTCCCCGCCGTTCGCGGCTCGGCTTGCGTATGCGGCTGGGAGCTTCGAGGACATGCAGGCGTCCCGCCCCCTCCGGCCATCCCCCCGGCTCCCATGCGCGCGGCCGCGACGCGCTGCGCACCCTCTTCCGCGCTGCACCCGCTCTCGGCATGGCCGTCGTCCGCCGAGATCACCTCCTATTCGCGCCGCAGGTGCACAACCAAGGGCTGGCCACCTCCGTATCCATCATGATGAAGCCAATGGGCCAAAATCGGACTCCGCTCCCCTCCCAGGTGGCCGGAGGGTACACCTCGGGTCGGCGTGCTGGGGGGGGCGCCGGTGCGCAAGCCCACTTTCCGGGCGACCCCGAGGGGGAGGAGGCCGGGCGAGTGGCAGCAACTCACTGTTAGTGTCCCGGGCCGCTGCGGCACCGTTTATACGGCCCCTCGTGATGTCTTTCCGAATTTGCATTGTGAGTCGTCCTCTGGCCAGCCGAGGGGCGCCAGAACGGCATGTGTACTGGTGCTGGGTGCGGGTGCGGAACGGGCTTTTTTTAACTCGCAACCAACTATACTATACAAGGACACCCTCAGGGGGGACACGCGGCGCATGTGCGTCACGTCAGGGTGGAGTTGGCGGTGGCCGAGCGTCGTCTCCAGATCGACTCGCAGCGCGGAGTCGAGGGTGAAGCGCGTCGCGCTGCGACACTCGAGAGCCGGCGGGATAGCCGTGGGGCGCGGCCGACTTTGAAGTCCTCAAAGATCCGGTGCGCATTCGTCCTCTGAGACCCACGCGTACAGGAAAGGGGCGAGAACGCGGCCATTCTCCATTGACAATCTAAGGCAACCTTGAGCTAGCCCGTTCCACACGGTGATCATAGCGGATGGGGGCTCGAGCGCACGCGAGCGCGCGAGATGGAGAAACGACAACCAAACGAGCGAGAGCTCGCTTACGAGACGCCAACCAAGATTAATCATGCCAACTTGCCGTGGCTGGCTGGGTAGCTGGGTGTGTGGTTGACGTGTGTGTGTCTCGCGCCGCGGACGGCCGGGAGTTTGGCCCCGCCGGATCGACATCGGCTGCCGTGGAACTGCCCCACCAGCAGGCTTGAGGCGCACTTCAGGCGTACTTCGTCGCCGGCACCGTCTTGAGCATCGGGTTGGCGAAGAACATGAGCTTGACGCCGGTAAGGGCGAGCCAGGCGGCGACGAGGTAAAAGGGCCGCGGGACCAGCACCTGCAGACATAACCCCGCCCAGACATCCAGCCTAGGTGTAGCCGAGATCTACCCGAGCTCCAGCTGAGATGTAGCCGAGGTCGAGCCGAGATCGCGCCTCGTGATCGAGGACGGCGAAGGTGGCGTGTGCCAGGTTCGCGCCCGCACCGCAGAAGCCGAGGCCGGTCAGCTTTCCGTTGAGCGTGTTCCACCTGCACAGCGCGATCCGCGGCCTGACGTTTTTGAGTGTCGCTGTGCTGTTGTGCGCAGCGCGCCTGACTGTGAAGAGCGCGCAGCCCAGTATGATGGCGAAGCCGCCACAGAATCGCAGCATGACCTCCATCTCGGCGGACAGCGGCCTCTCGACTTCCGGCGGCGCGTCGAAGAAAGGACGCAAGATCGCGTTTGGCGGGAACGGCTGGTAGAGAAGCTCGGGCCGTGCGCACATGATTCCGCCGAGCGCGAAGTGGACGAGCGCAGACAAGTCGGAGAAGTCGCCGTGCGGCATATACATACATGTGCGCTGGAGGACGGCGGAGAAGGAGAAAACGCGGTCGGGAGGTACGTCGTGTGCGTGTCTGGTGTGTGTGTGTGTGTGTGAACCCGCCAATGGCAATTATCAGTTGTGCGGCCGTCGCCGCGGCTCGCCTCTGCACATGTGCGTTTGTATATAACCGGAGACGGCGAGAAGGAGAAAAACACCGTCGCTGTTGTTTCTTTTTTCTAACTTACTAAGAATTTCTTAGCCCCGAGTAGAGGGGGCCGCTCCGCCGCTAGGGGAAACCCAAAGCGCAGACTAACCCTCGGAGACCCGTACACCGGTGTTTACTTTAAACGGCCCTTTCCCTGCCCGTATGCCGTAACCCGATATCGATCATCCGGCCCGCTGGGTGCGCTTCTTACATCTTGAGAGAGAGATTACATCTTAGCTCCCCGGCCCTGGATGTGAGGTTAATGACTGCACTGTCTCCAAGTGCTTCAAAGTGCCGCCACACCAGCAGCAGCACCACGAAGAACGCTCGGTCCTGGTAATAAGTATAACATCTCTGCCGTCGCGCAGCCCCCCATGGTCGTCCCCTCCAATGGTACACCCAACCCCCCCCCCCCCCCCCCCCACTCGTACAATGCCCTTCCCATTTCTTGTCCAGACACGGGGAGCCGCGCCCCTCATAGCTCTCCCGGCTGGGTCGGTACGAAGCGCCTCTCTGCTTCTCCGCCTCCCACGAAGACCCGAGGCTGCCCGCGAGACTACAAGTCGCCGCCGTGAGGGCCTTCGTTGGGGATGGCGGCGACGACGTACTTGTAAAAGATGGTTAGCGCGGCGGCGCTCACGCAAGCGACAAAGACGAAGACCCGCGCCTGAAAGGTCCAGGAATGGTCCGGGAATGGTCCGGGAAAGGTCCGGGAAAGGTCCGGGAACGGTCCGGGAAAGGTCCGGGAAAGGTCTAGGAAGGAGACAGAGACGACGACCCGCGCCTTTTTCTGGTCCGCCGCCTGCTGCTCAAGGAGCATCGACTCGATCGACTTGAGCCGCGCCTGTTCACAGCTGCCGGCTGTGAAGAGACGCCGTCCACGCCCGCGGCGGCTCGGCCGCGGTTCTCTTCTGTCGGCGCGCCTTGACCACCTCTGGGTCAGTCATCAGCTGGACCATCTCTGCAGCGGGCGCCTGCGGTAGGGTGAGGAAAGGTGAGGCAAGGCGAGGCAAGGGACCCAGGGTGGTGGGAAAAGGGCCGGGCGACCCTCGCGCCTCCCCGTCTAAAGCCAGGAGCTGGCGCGGCCTTCGAAGTGCGGGGGCCGGTGCCCCGGGCTCGCGGGTGAGGGGTGGGCGTGTGAGTGTGCGTGCGACCATGAAGAACTAGGTAGCCAGGTAGCTGGAGGCGAAGAAGGCACAGTCTGTGGCCAGAAAGTGGACAGCAGGCGGCATGGGTGTAGTGAGAGAGAGGTGGACACAGTCTCTGCCCAGCGACTGGGCACCACCGCCAGGCGGTTTGGGGCGGGACGCTAGCGAGGCGTAGAGACGGCCACACAGGAGCGACGCACTGTGAACGGGGTGGATCCTGGTAGCGATCTGTCTGCCTGCGGTGCGTATGAGCTCAATAGCTAGAGAGCTCGCACTAGAGGCCGTCCTCGCGCTCGCCTTCCTGGGACCCAGTGCTGACTTCTGACTGCCGTTGCTGTTTCTCGACTGTCTGTGCTTGTGCGTCTTGGGTCCGGGGTTGTGTTTTTGTGTGAAGGCGCCACGTGCAGCTCGCGCGAAGTAGTTATGTAGGTAGAGTGACTGTGCTCAGCTAGCAGCTACTAAGATCGACGACTGGCAGCGTGCGACACAGGAGCGACGCACGCGGTTGGAGCATGTCGAGTGTGCGCGACGGAGGAGCGCGCTCCCCATGTCCGGATCTACAGGGCGTGTGCTAGCGTGGCGCCTGTTGCGTGGCGCTGCCGTCCTTGGCAAGCTTCTCCGCGAGGTCGAGCGCGGAGGGGGCCTGCATGCGGTGCGTCATCAGCGGGTCCGCCTTCCACTCGATCAGCAGCGCCACCTGCCGCACGGGCGGCCGTGGTGAGGGTTGGGCGGGCGAGGGTGTGGAGTAGGCGAGAGCGGGTGGCAGGCGAGGGACAGCGTGCGTGGGACAGCGTGGGTGTCTGGTGTGTGTTGGTGCGGAGTCGGTGGGCAAGCTTGGTGGCGGGCAGCGAGCGGCGTGGAGTGAGGGTGGGGGGGTGGGGAGAGGAGAGAAAACGTCGGCGCCATGTCAACGTCCAGCCCTTCGACGGCCATGCTGAGCGGCGAGACGCCGAGATAATTCCCGTTGGGATCGGCGCCGTTCTGGATCATTTTGAGCACTGCGGAGGGAACACGGCCGCCGTCAGCACGCACAAAATCGGGGCACACGGCCGCCGTCAGCACCCACTGGGTGGGGGTGCAGCTGCATCGGAGAGGGCACTCGGGCAGCGACAGCGCACCTCGCATGTGCTGCTTCTCCTCCACGCACTGCAGGAGTGGCATGGCCTGTGCGCACGCGAGGTGGGTCGGTACGGGCGACGGGGATGTGAAAGAGGAGGCCGCTGTACGCACATCGCCCATTGATGGCCAAACCAGGATTCGCCGACTCCGCGAAGGCAGCGGCGGGCAGGCGCCGCCTATTTCTTCCTTTTTGAATACGACTGTCCTGGTCGAGAGTGTGTGCCGCCGAGGCGGGACCACTCGGGGACAGTGCTGACGGGACGCGGCTCGAAGGGTGTGGCTCCGCAGCGCGGCTGGCACTCGTCGCAGAGGCCTCACCTTCGAAAAGTCGGGCATGGCTCTACCCGCAACTTTCTCGCTAACACGCGCGCACCGCCGAGCCTGCGGCGGGCGCGCTGCGGCCGCACGTCTAACTTCGCCATAGTGCCACGACGTGCGGCCTAGATTTAGCCCACGCGCCTCTGCTCGCAAACACTCACCCATTGAATTGTCACTGCCCGTGAGTGCGAGATAGGGCTAGCCGTAGGCAGCTACCACCAACTTTGTCGCGTTGACCATCCCCTGCTCGCACCGGCGTGGGCTCGGCCTGAGCTCAGCCGCCTCGGGTGGGCGGCGGGGAGACGCACCGGGCTACGGGCTGCGAGAGCCGCCTTGAGAGCCGCGTTGTCGGTTGCGACAAAGAGTGGCAGTGACGGCTGCGTGGGCACGAGGGTGGCAGCGAGAGCAGTGGTAGCGGGCGGTGGTGGGGCAGCCGCGCGGCGCGGCGGCGGCGCACCTCGGCGCCGATGACGCACGCAACAGCGACGGCCGCCTGGAGGAGGGTGCTGCGCGTGTCCTTGATGTTCGTGTAGAAGTTGGACTTGGAGCGCAGCTTGCTTCCCTCGGCGCCATCGCCCATCCGAATATGCATCGAGTTGTACGGCGTCGCTGGCGCACCGAAGAGCTGCGCTTGCACTGTGTGGATCTCCGTGCGGAAAGCGGCGGCCGGGCCCTGGAAGAGGAAGCCGTACAGCGTGACGAAGTCAGCCGTGAAGTCTTGGCAGTTCCAGCACCCCGCGCCGGACACGCCGCCCGCCGTCACGCGCAGGTAGGTCGTGTCTGGCGGCGGCGCCCCGGTAAGGTTGGCCCAGCCAAAGCGGTAGACCTTCGGGTGGTTCTCCTTGTCGTCCAACAGCGCACGCTCCGTCGCGTTGGGTCGCCAGTCGATCTCAGCCGCCTCGAGCATGTCCTCCAGACGCTCTGGAGACGCCCAGTCGACGAGCAGCACGCGTCCCGAAGCAGCCGCCTGTATGCGCGAGGTGTGTGACGATGCACAAGGCCTCGCATGGGACCTGTGAGGAGAGGATTCTGCGGAGGCGGACCACGCGAAGCGTCCAGCCAATCTGATTGAAGCGACTGCCATGCCCGCCGCAGATGTTTCGGATCCCCTTCATGTGCTCGTGGCAGCTGTACATGACGTATTTAGCGGCAGGAGCGTTCCGGTGCTGGCGGTGCCAGACGGCGTATTCGTCGAGCCAGCTTGGGCGCGCCATCTGCAGGATGCTGTACAAAGCTAAAAGTACGTACAAAGCCTGTGGTGACGCGGCACATTGGTGCGGCGCAACACAACTTTGCGTGCTACGAGTATCAAAAGAAAAAATGCTCAAGGGAGGGAGACTCCCCGCCTATGCAACACCTAATACTCCGCTCAAGCAGAAGCGTGATGCCAACCACGATGGCCATCGGGTGCGACCGATCGTGCGCCAATTTTGTTTTTTTTTATGGCCGGGATTGACACAACGCGCCAAAAAACGGTCTATGCACGCGCTCCGCCCTCTCGGCGGCGCTGCCGCGCAGCCGCATTTAGCCGCATTTCTGTTTTCTTTTTTCGATACGCGGATGTAAAGCCGGGTAGAAAGTACGGAGGGTAAATAAAATATTCTTAGCTTCAAGCCCCCCGTCCGTCGACCGCGTCACTCATGTCCCACGAGTCCACATTCTCCCTCGTCACTCCGATCCCAGGGCCTCGAGCAGCCGCGCCGCCAGCACCGCCTTCAGGCCGGTGGCCTCGAGGCCGCGCTGCAGCAGTGCCTCCTTGAGCTTCGGCACGGTCAGCTTGCCCACGGCGGCCGCATCGGCCTCGGCCTTGAGCTCCGCCCGCGCCGCCGTCTCGCCAACCGTCATCTCCTCGTCGTCCTCCTCGTCGCCGCCGCCGGCAACAGCCGCCGCCTGCGGCGGCGCGGCGCGCACCCTCGCCCGCTTGGCCGAGGGCGGCGCGGCGCGCGCCGCCTCGAACTCGGCGACCATCCCGGCGGGGAGCTGCTTGGCTGGTTCCCACGTGTTGTCGTCGGGTCCGTCGTACCCCCTCCACTTGACCAGGTACTTGAGGCCTCGGCCCGAGCCCTTGGCCTCGAGCAAGGCCTCGACCTCGAACTCCTCCTCCTCCTCCTCCTCCTCCTCCATCTCCTCCTCCTCCTCCTCCTCCTCCGCACAAGAGGCGTCGCCCGCCACGCCGTCGCCGGCGTCAGCGTCGCGGGGACGCTTGGCCGGCTTGGCGGCGTCCAGCGCCACGGCCGCCCTCGCCGCCTTGGCCGCCTCCTTCCCGGCCGCCGTCCCCGCCGCCTTGGCCGCCACCTCCGCCACCTTTGCCGCCTCCTTCGCCGCCGCCTTCGCCCCCTTGGCCGCCTCCTTCTCCGCCTCCTTGGCCGCCGCCTTCGCCGCCTTCGCCGCCTCCCTCTCAGCCGCCTTGGCCGCCCTTGCCACCTCCTTCTCCGCCGCCTTGGCCGCCGCCTTCTCGGCCCTCGCCCTCTCCTTGGCCGCCCTCTCCTCCTCCCGGGCCCGCTCGGCGGCGGCCTCCGCGTCGGCCGCCGCCCGCCGCGCGCGCGCCAGGTGTGCGTCCATCGCCGACTGGTCGCCGCGCGCCCAGGCGTCGACGTACGCCCTGTCGCCTGAACGCAGCGCCGCCTTGCCGTACAGCGTGTTGCCCCCGTTGCGCGAGCGCGGCTGGCACCCGACGTGCTTCCACGACGTCATCATGAACGCGCCGCCGTAAGCCGTCTCGCCGAGCCCCTCCGTCCCGATGCGCACCTCGCCCTTGTCGATCGGGAGGTGGCACGCCTTGCATGTGGAGCGGCCCGACTTGGCGTACTCGACGACGGTCGGCCGCGTCTCCCATTGCGCGAGGAACGGGCCGCACCCGCCGCCGGCGACGGCCGCCTTGGGCGCCTTGGGCGCGGCCGCCGGCGCCCTTCGCACCGGGGCCGGCGCGCCTGCCGGCACGGGTACCCTGCCCTGGGGTGGGGGGGCGGCCGTGGCGGGGGGCGGCGCGCTCGCTGCCGCGTGCGCACGCGCCGTCGCCGCGACCGCGAATTGCGACGGCGCCACCGAGGAGGCCGCAAAGCGCGGGGTGGACATGGATGCGCCGGCAGCGCTCGGCGCCGGAGCGATCACTGCCAGCACAGCCGCCGCTGGGCGACCCGTCATGGCCGCGTTCGTCGAGGGCGGCGGGTTGGACGAGACAGGCAGCTTTGGCGCCGGCGCGCTGGACGCCGCGGCCTTGCCCTTCGACTGAGGGTGCCGAGGGCAGCCGGTGCAGCAGTTGCCGCACATTTGCAGCGTGCACGCCTTCGCCGCGGACGATCCACAAGCGCAGAAGCCGCCGCCGCCGCCGCCGCGCGGCGCTCCGCCGCCGCCGCCGCCTCCGCCGCCGCCGCCGCCGCGCGATGCACCGCCGCGCGATGCTCCGCCTCCGCGCGATCCTCCGCCTCCGCGCGGAGCACCACGATGGAGGGACGCGGCGAGGCGCTGCATCGATGACGAAGGGCCGCCGTACGCATCGGTGAAGCCCGCCTGTGCCATGTAGCCGGCGCCGAAGTCGTAGGCCTCGCCGGCCCAGTGGTTGTCGTCGAACCAGCCCATGAGAGGACGAGAGTGGCGCTGCCCTGCCCCCCCCGGGGGGGGGCGTAGAAGCTTGCTCGGTTTGCAGCGTGATTACCCGGGTAGCGAGTTCGCGCCAAATCGCCGCCTACAGTGGTTGCGGGCATTAAGAAAACAGGATGGCGCGGATCGCCGCCGTTTCTGAGCCTTTCCACAGCCCTCATCCACCCCGCGCCGTGGTTTCTTAGCTCCGGCCGGCACTCAAGCCAGCAGAGCCGGCGGGCCCGAAGGATTTTTAGGTAAGTAAGAGGTAAGCTGTAAGCTGCCGGTCCGCGAGGGCGATGCCAGAGTCTGCCGCTGAGTCGGCTCTCTGGATGACGGGGGAAGACGCACACACGCCTCCATCCACTCCACTCAGAACACCGCAGACTTTTGGAAAGTGACAAGTGCGCCGCGCCGCAGGCGAAGAGAAATTTTGAGCTGGGGCTCCCGTTCACACTCGTTTCTGGCCTTTTCTCGGGGCCGCGTCTGCGGCGCGCCGTGGTTTCTTAGATTTTTGCGGAAATCGCTCGGCGTGGTTTCTTAACACTACGTTTTCTTAATGCCCGCAACCCACTGTATTACAAAAAAACTTCTGAAAATTCTTAGCTCCCCGGCCCTGGATGTGAGGCTACCAACTGCACTCCAAGTGCTCCAAGTGCACATGTGTGTCCGCCTTGCGTTTGTTTCATAACATCGAAGGCTGCTAGCTCAAAAAAAATTACAACAAAGCTCCCTCGCACGACCCTGGGCACGGGACTGGCGCGTACTGGCACTAAAAGAAAGGGGAAAAGGCAAGAAGCGCGCTGCGAAGAGTCAAGAGACTCCCCGCCTAATCTCCATCTTGATTGCTGTGTATAGCCCGCAGAAGCTTCCGAGGCTTCTCTGACGACAACAAGTGGGGTACCGCGGTGGAGGGCACAGGTGGGACGTGGCCCTGTTCGGGCAATGTATCTGGCCCTGGCCATGTGAGGTAATGACTACACTCCAAGTGCTCCAAGTATCTGGGGTGTGTCGCACCGGCGGCGCAGCTCCCACCACCGTGGTTGCGCTGAAGTACGTCACCTGCCCGGACCGCGAACGAACGTCGCGGGAGCGACCGTTCGAGAAGTGGTAGAACTTCCACCCCCACAAACGAGAACCCTGCACAAAGATCGCATGGGCGGGGACCCGCTCCCTTTTACCCATCTCCCAGTAGAGGCGGAGGTCCCTGTTTTATTTATTAGGGCGCCGTGAAAAGAAATGAGCGTGACACCTGCATGTGACGTGCGCGCGCATTGCTCGCCTCGTCGCCCCTAGGCAGCAGCCTGGCGATGAAGGTGTTTTGTGTACAACTGGACGTGCATCGATGGCAACCAGAAGCGAGGCTGACACGTCCTATGCGCCGAGACAGTGCGAGGCGGTAAAGGGAGAGGAGGGAGCACTACCGGGCGATGAGGAGAGGCGCGTACAGCAATGGCGCGTACAGCGAGCGCCTGGGCTTCGCACTCTGCGGTGTGGGCGAGTGTCCGCCTCCTTGACTTGCGGCTCAGCCGGCCCCTCAGAATAGACCCCTGGGTGCGATCTCCTCGCAGCTGCGAGAGCATGGGGCGGGGCGGCAAGCTCGTGGCCGACTCGGCGGCGTCGCTCGACGTACTTCCCGAATGGCCACTCCCGCCCTCCGCTCCGCGCTCTAGCTCGAGAGCAGCCTTGTCGCTCTCATCGCTGCTGCCCTCCTCGTCACCCCCCGGCTCCGCGCCGACCGAGCTGAAGTACGAGAGACCGACGAGCCCGACCGTCGCAGTGACCACCCCGCACGCGTATGCCCAGAGGTCCCCCGAAGACAGAGACTCAAACTCGTCGAGCAGGACGCCGCCGGCCGACGTGGTGCACACGATGAGCAAGAACTGGTAGGCCGGCACGGCGAGCGCCACAGCCGCACCGACGAGAGTACGGTTGAGGAGGGTCAGGTGCAGCGGCGCCGAGACGCAGAGGCCGAGGAGCGCCAGCGCGAGTGGCACGGCAGTCGCGGGGAAGGCAGAGGCGGTGGTCGAGACGACCTTAAGCATCAGTTGGGAGATGCAGCCAGTGGCCGCCGCGGCGAAGGCGGAGATCAGCGGCAACACCGAGGACTTGTCGCTGACTCCGCAGACGCTCTTGGAGAGAACGAGAGCCGCGGTGATCAAGGCAGCGGCAGCAAAGAGCGCAAAGCGCGGGCGCGTATACGCCGCCAGGAGTGCGGGCAGCGAAGGCGCGCTCTCCTCGTGCGGGCCGAATGTGGATACGAGAGTCACGCCCAGCAGAACCAAAGCGATGCACGCGAGGTCCGCGCGCTCCAGCCTCTCTGCTGGAGAGGTGAGCAGGCCGCTGGCAGCCAGGAGCAACGAGAACGCGATGGTCAGGCCAGCGAAGGGCGCGACGACCGAGAGCGGCAGGACCCCGAGGACCGCCACCTCGACGACCGTTGCAAGGATGCCGAGCAGCACGAACCCCGCAATCCACTTTGGAGCCACGGTGGGAGGTCCGGACTGCTGTCGCCGGCCGCCTTCATCAACAGCAAGCCAGAGGCGCCGCAGAAGCAGCCGACGGGCAGCAGCAGCATCCCCGCGCTGCGCGAAAGCGGCATGTTGACCTCAATGGTGCCCACTAGTGGTAGTGGCGGCGCTAGTGGTAGTGGCGGCGCTCCAAGAGTGGTGCTCTTGGGAAGAGGTTCCTCCTTTCCGCTCCCCCCCCGCAAGGCGCGAGACACATCAATCACACACTATGTACCCCCCACTCGTCTGGCGCGACACGCCGCAGGATGGCCGCCGCCGCCGCCTTTGCAGCGCCCCCGTGGCCTCCTCCCGGCTCCACTCGTGGCCGGCGGGTGCCACAGGGTCCGCAGCAGGCTGCCAGCAGGCCCGAGCGGTGGCTCGCGACGCGACTCGGCTGCGCCGCCTCCTCGCCGCCGAGTGCTGCGAGCGTCGAGCGAGTCGCCGGCGAGCCATCCGCCACAGCCTTAGCTGCCGGTCCACGCACTCCCAGGCACACGGAGGGACCCAGCAGCGTCGCCGCACGCGTCTGAGCCACGCGTCGGCGATGCAAACAGGCTGTGACTTCACCCGGCAGAGCCTCGACGACTGCTCGGTGCGGAGTGTACTGTTGCGAGGCGCCGCTGGGCGGCGGCGCGCGGCTCCTCGCTGCTTCGGCGCGCCGCGCTGGCGCTCTGCGGCGGACGGTGCCGTTGGCTCGCCGTTGCCTCGCTCGTGGACGTCCCATTGAAGCACGCGGTGCGGCGCCTCTCGGTGGGCCCATTGCGCCTCTCACTACACACTCCCTGCTCTCTCCCGACCTCACTCCACGGTGCGTCACGATCGTGGCGGCGATGCGCCGCAGGCGCTCGTCATCGCGCGCATGGCCGTGGCGCCGCGTCCAGGCGGCAAGCGCACCGTGCCATGCCTGCGGTGGCGCTGCCACCGACAGCGCCACCACCGCACACTCACGTGCCGTGAGGAAACGCCACGTCGCGTGTCACTTCACGGTGTGCCGTGATCGTGGCGGCGATGCGCTGCAGGCGCTCGTCATCGCGCGCACGGCCGTGGCGCCGCGTCCAGGCGGCAAGCGCACCGTGCCATGCCTGCGGTGGCGCTGCCACCGACAGCGCCACCACCGCACACTCACGTGCCGTGAGGAAACGCCACGTCGCGTGTCACTTCACGGTGTGCCGTGATCGTGGCGGCGATGCGCCGCAGGCGCTCGTCATCGCGCGCACGGCCGTGGCGCCGCGTCCAGGCGGCAAGCGCACCGTGCCATGCCTGCGGTGGCGCTGCCACCGACAGCGCCACCAACACTCACGTACCGTGAGGAAACGCCGCCGCGTCGCGTGCGTGGCGCGGCTATCACTAGCGGCCGGCGCTCGTCGGGTGATGGTGTCGCGGGCCGGCGCTCCAGTGTCGAGACGCACTTGGAGCACTTGGAGTGCAGGTAGAATTCTTTTTCACGCGTGTCAAAAGTCGAGCTCTCGCGCGAGTGCCAAGGTGCTCGAGAGTCTCGCCTCATGGCCTGCTGCGACAGGTGCGGCGAACGTCATCGGACCATAGACTGCCCACACTTCCCGAAGCCTCGCGGGAAGCATCCGGACGCGCAGTTGCAAGGCCCAAGGCGCAACCTCTCCCCAGACGTGGAGGCTGTCGTTCGGCGCGGTACTCTCGTGGCCAGACCCCAGACGGTTCGTGCCTCTTCAATTCCTTCGCGTACTGCGAGCAGCAAGACGCTGGGTGGCTCTTTGGAGCGGCGACGCCCGCCAGCATTCGGCGTCAATGTGCCGAGTGGCTGCAGGAGCACGGCAACTATGTGCACAACGGGCTGCGCATCGCCAAGTGGATCGAGCATGAATGTGGCCAGCAACTGTCGGTCAAGGACTACGCGTTGCAAATGCAGCGGTGCCGAGGCCGTGTTTGCTGGGGCGGCGCGCTCGAGATCCTCGCCTACTCGCGGTTGCGCTCCGTGAACGTTGCGGTGTGGATACCGACCGATGGCAGGCCCAAGCACTTCACGCTCACCTCGCGCTTCGAGGTGACCGGTGCATTGACTACGGTCAACTTGTGCCGGTCACAGCGCATGCATTACGATGTGGTCGAGCTGGTCGGCGAGCCGGTCACGGGCGGGCAAGAGCGAGAGCGGCGGTCGGCGGCGGCCGCCAGGAAGAAGGAGGAGGAGGCGCAGAGCCAGAGGCTGCAGGTCGACGCCTTCATGCGCAGCTGTCGCCTCGGCAGCCGCGGCGGCGGCGGCGCGTCGGCCGTCGCCAAGGGCGGCGGCAAGGGCGGCGGCAGGGGCGGCGGCAAGGGCGGCGGCAAGGGGCAAGGCGGCGGTGGCGGCGGTGGCGGCGGTGGCGGCGGTGGCGGCGGTTTGCTCGCACAGCAGACGGGTCGCGAGCCGGGAAATCGCAGCAGTCTCGCTGAATCTCGCCGCCCCAGGCTCTAGAGGTGGAGAGACTGGCCTTCCTGGTCAAGCAGGACATGCCCCTGCTAGCATGCCAAGCAAGGGCTCGCGGGTCGAGGTTGTTTTTGCGCCACACCACCCTGCCACCGCTGCCACCGAAGGCAAACGTTTGCCAAGCGCGGGGCGTGAACATAACGACTTTACTGCGATGGCAGACACGGCCGAGCAGACGAGGGTGGCGCTGCCGTGGCAGCGGGGAGATGCGAGGGGCACGCTCAACCTGCCGGCGGCGACCAAGGTGGAGGACCTCAAGCTGTGCCTCAGCGCGAGCGACTGCGCCGCGGTGATGTTTGACACGGTCATCATCGAGGTGAGGAAGGGCGGCTCTGTCCTCAAGCGCAAGCTCGACACGCAGGAGCAGGACGCGGTTGTCGACCCGTCGTGGACGCATCCTCTCCAAGCCGCCCGCCGAGGAGCCTCCGCCGGAGCCTCTCACGGAGGTGCGCGTCTACACCCACCAGCGCGCCGAGGAGCTCGACCACGTCCCGCTCCGCCCGGATTTCACTGTGCTGGTCCTCCTTTCGAGGGAATCGGTGCTGTGCCTGTGCTCAGTCGGGAGATCTTGCTCTGGAGGGCTGCATATCTAGCCTCACTGGGAGCCTGCCTTTGGGTCATGAGGGCAGGGGCCAGGCATCTCCTGTGGTGCATTCTTGGCAGCCAAGGAGCAAAGCACGCGGCCCTGGCCAGCTGTGGTGTGGCTGGGAAGCCGTGCTAAAGTTGCGTGCCCGCACTAAAGATGCGGGACCCACACTAAATGTACTGCAGCTGCCCGCACCTAAAGTGAACTAAATGTGGCGCTAAATTGGAGATAAAACACACTAAATATGCGCTAAATATGCGCTAAATATGTGCTAAATATGTGCTAAATATGTACTAAATTTGCGCTAAATTTGCGCTAAAGTCGCACTTACACACGCACTCGAACATACACTAAATAGCGCACTAAACTATCACTAAAGTTCATTCGCACGCACTAAATTTAGACCCAGGCGCCCTCCCCAAACGCTGACTAAAAGGTTATTTGTGTGCCCGCCTTGCGTTTGTTTCATAACATCGAAGGCTGCTAGCTCAAAAAAATACAACAAAGCTCCCTCGCACGATCCTGGGCACGGGACTGGCGCGCACTGGCACTAAAAGAAAGGGGAAAAGGCAAGAAGCGCGGCCGCTGCGAAGAGACTCCCCGCCTAATCTCCATCCATCTTGATTGCTGTATATAGCCCGCAGAAGCTCCGAGGCTTCTCGGAGGGCACAGGGGACGTGGCCCTGTTCGGGCAATGTATCTGGCCCTGGATGTGAGGTAATGACTACACTCCAAGTGCTCCAAGTATCTGGGGTGTGTCGCACCGGCGGCGCAGCTCCCACCACCGTGGTTGCGCTGAAGTACGTCCTGCCCGGACCGCGAACGAACGTCGCGGGAGCGACCGTTCGAGAAGTGGTAGAACTTCCACCCCCACAAACGAGAACCCTGCACAAAGATCGCATGGGCGGGGACCCGCTCCCTTTTACCCATCTCCCAGTAGAGGCGGAGGTCCCTGTTTTATTTATTAGGGCGCCGTGAAAAAAAATGAGCGTGACACCTGCATGTGACGTGCGCGCGCATTGCTCGCCTCGTCGCCCCTAGGCAGCAGCCTGGCGATGAAGGTGTTTTGTGTACAACTGGACGTGCATCGATGGCAACCAGAAGCGAGGCTGACACGTCCTATGCGCCGAGACAGTGCGAGGCGGTAAAGGGAGAGAGGAGGGAGCACTACCGGGCGATGAGGAGAGGCGCGGCGGACGTGCTCAAAGCGCTACGTTGGACGCCGCCGAAGTCAAGGAGGCGGACACTCGCCCACACCGCAGAGTGTGCGAAGCCCAGGCGCTCGCTGTACGCGCCATTGCTGGGGCGACGAAGAGGTGCGCAGGGAGAAGGGAGAGCGACGAGGAATGGGAGGCGATGGAGCAACTGCTCGCTGGAAGACTGCCCGAGCCGAGTGTGATGGACCAGGACCCGCCAGAAGACATCATGAGGGAGTATGACACACGGGTGGTGACTTCACTCAAGGCACTGCAGCAGACGGCGGCGTCAATAATCAAAGTACGGGAAGGGGGAAGAGGAAGGGACTTGAGGCGGAGAGGAAGGAACGAGTGGCCGCGGAAACAGAACGCCTGAAAGAGGGACAGAAGGAAAGAAAGGAGAGGATACGAGAAATGGAGTGGGCGGCGAATGCGTGTATTTGCTGGCGACGGAGGCGACATCGACTAACGTGAGGCCGAGGAGAAGGAAAGGGAGGAGGCAGAGAGACGCCTCGAAGCGGGGAGAGGCAGAACGCGACAAGAGCGATGGGGATGACACTCAAAACGACCCACTGCGAGCTCGAAGGCGAAGGCCGGCGCAGGAAGCGCGGTGACAGGAGCGACGATGTGGCGAGCGCCGGAGGGAAGCGACGACAGCGAGGGGACGAGGACGACGAGCAGAGAGGAGAACAGACGGCGAGCGGCGCACGCGAGGGCGACCACGGAGGAGAAAACAGACGGGACGAGGGGAAGGAAACGCGGCCCGCAAGGACGCGGAGGCAGACGGCAAGATACGTCGCCGGACCAGCGACAGGAAGCGCAGGAAAACAAAAAGAACAAGACCAGGAGCATGGAGACGCGAGGGAAGGCGCGAGGCGCTCCGCCGACAAGCAGCAGAGGCGGCGGCGAAAGTAACGACGGCCATGCTAACGACGGGCGGCACGGACGGTGGTAGGGGCGAAGGTAGGCCTCTCTAGCATAGCGGAAGGGGAACTAGGCCTACTGGCGACGAGGAGGCTGGAAAAATTCGAGAGGTTAGCATCTACACTGGGGAGATCTTCCGGACAGGAACGGCGCAGCCACCAGAGACAGTACCAGACGAACTGTCACGACACACGGCAGCAGGGGGGACGCAGCTGGATGGAAGTGACGATGAGAGCGAGGACGACTTTGACAGCGTCGCGGCGCGCCTGGGAGAAATTAACTTCGACTGGCCAGCAGCATCGAACGAGCCGAAGCAAGGCACGCGGGCGACGGGGGCGACGCACTTCGTTCGCTACGAGGAGATACAACTAGGCAAGGCAGCTGCGCAAGTGATGGTCCTGTTTGCAGAGAAAGGAGTCAAGGAAGGCAAAGAAATCACATGGTCATATGGGGACTCATACAGGAGCCACCGCAAGGCGCTAGGATACAGGGCGGGGACGAACGAGGGCGAATCCGTCCGAACGCAATAACACCGTGCGCGCGAGAATGGCCTCGCCGGGTGGTGCGGCCGCAGCAGCTATGGCAGCAACCGCAACAGAGGCAGCATGTGTGTATGTAGGCATCAGCGGTGCAGAAGCAGGCAGCGGCAGCTGTTCACAGCCTTGTTATTGAGAAGGAAATACGTCCTATGGCGCTGTGCGCTGGTCTATGAGAGGTTGAGGTGCGAGCCCTGGAGGCCCTGGGGATGGGGTGAGACTACCCGCGGGCCTAGAAGGCCCTCGCGCGGGGGGGGGTGGGGAGAGAGAGAATTCTTGATACGAAACCACGACGACACACACCAGTCGACTCGCATCGGTTGCCTCCATGAACGGCGGAGCTATTCTCGCGCCCACACCACACCTGGCTCCAACGTGGACACGCCCATAGCTGGGGACACTACTAGGTCACGCATGGCATCACAGAAGTTTTATCTCTGGGCCCCGAAAGGCATCTCTAGCAGTGTCGTTACACATGCCCCCTCCCCTCCTGGGCGCATGCGCCTCACGTCTCGCCAGAGCATAAGCCCTTGGCGTGTGGCGAGACGAGTTTTTCGCCATCTCAGCGAGCAGCAACCCGCCCGCCGCAAACAGCCGGAGGCCTCGCCGCGGCACTGGCTGCGCCGCGGTCCCGCACCCGTCGACGCAGCTCCCCCCGCGGAAGACCGCGCGTAGCAACGTCTTGACGATCGAGATGAGCGTGCCTGAAGCTCGCCCACCTACTGCCCCTGAGAGTTGGTTATGAGTGGGCTCGGCTCCCCCCCTTGGGATCGAAGCTTCCACGACCTCACACCCAACATTCCAGGCGGGATCAGAAGGGGACTCCACACCGGACACCGCCCGGGCACAGCCCCCCTACCCGTCGGATCGCACAGGGCCCCCTCGGAGCAGCCCACACACAATCACGCATCGGCAGATTGAGTGCCTGAGTCAGGCAGACAGCACAGACAAGAGGAGAGAGAGGAGAGAGAGAGAGAGAGAGAGGAGAGAGGAGAGGGTGAGGGTGTGAACACACGTGAGGAGTGGGGGAGGGTGTCTGTGGTGGGCTGTAGTCCTACTACGTGGTTACAACCACGCGCCCCTCAGGAGCTTAAGGTAGAGCTGAGCGTCCAAGACGCCTCGGTGCCTCCCACCGGCGTGAGACCATCCGGATCTTTCCACCGCGCCCTCCGGGCTGAGTGGTCCCCGCGATGGCCCACGGTCCTCCGTCGCCTGGTTGAACCCCCTGCCTCCCGGTTGACCCCCCGGTCCCCGTACACGACCATGAAATAAACTCAAAGTCCACCACAGCCACCAGCCTCCACCTCCACCCGCGAGCCGCCACCGCTGCCGCCCGCGACGCCGCCCGCCGCGTCAGATAGCCGCGACGCGCGCATCGAGTCGCGTCGGAGAGCCGCGCCGCACCAGCAGCAGTACCTGCACCACCAGCAGCAGCAGCAGCACCACCACCACCACCCGAGAGAGAAGCGCACCTGCCCGACGCCGCCCGCCGCGTCAGACGCTCGCGACGCGCGCGTCGAGCCCAGTCGCACAGCCGCGCCGCGCCAGCAGCAGCATCGGCACCAGCAGCAGCAGCACCACCACCACCACCAGCAACAGAGACAGGCAGTGCAGGCGCAGAGGCGCTCGCAGAGCGGCGCTCAGCGCCGCGCACGCCACGCCGCGGACCGTCGGACGAGCGCACCGTACGTCGGCGGCGAGCCGCGTCGCCAGCCGTCTCGCGAGAGAGCGGCGCCGCCGCGTGCGCGCAGCAGCCGCCGCGGCAGAGGCGAGCCGCGGCGACGTCCGCACTAACGGATAACGGCCATTGGCGGTTTCTCTCTCTCTCTCTCTCTCTCTCTCTCGGGGGGTGGGACATCAGGCGGCGGGACATTCACACCCCGAGCTTTGGCGCCAGTTCGCTTCGCGGTTGGGCGTCGGCGCGCGCTGCTTCCCCACCGCTGCGCCACCCCCCCGATGAGCACGACGGGCCTCGACCCCGCGGACGAGGAGGAGCTCCTCCTCATCATCTCCGGCCTCGGCCTCGCCAACGGCGGCGACGGGGGCGATGAGTACATGATCGGCGCCGAGGCGAGCGAGTGCCTGAGCGACATGCAGCGATACCTGCGGCGCGACGACCCGCACGTGATGGCGTGCCACCGCGCGCTGGGCCAGTGGCGCGTGCTGCAGACCCACCTCCTCCCCATCCTGCGCGCCAACGGCACCGACCCGCAGCTCGTCTTTTCGGCGCTCAAGGTCGTCGTCAAGCTGACGATGAAGCCGGAGCAGCTCGGCATCCGGATGGAGGACATGCTGAAGGAGCGCAAGTCGCCGGACCCGATCGTCGGCGCCCACCTCGACGAGCTCAAGACCTACCACCGCGCGTACACAAAGGCATTCGCCGACGACGCGGCGAACCTGCGCGCGCTGGTCGCACTCATCGCCCGCCCGCTCGCCACTGAGGAGGAGGAGAGGCCCGAGGAGGACCAGATGATCATCGAGCTCGTCGTCGCCCTCCTCGTCAACCTGCTCCACACCCGCGCGCCCGACGCGCCTCCGCCTCCCCCGGGCGCCGCGCAGGCGGCCGCTGCGGCGGACGTCGAGACTCTCCGGCGCCTGCTCACCACTCTCGAGGCGGAGCACGGGCTCGAGCTGGTCGTGTACATGCTGCAGCAGATTGACGAGTCCGAGGCCTTCCGCGCCTGGA